AGTTTCGTGGAATCTGACAGCAAAGAGCTGCAGAGCTGCACAAGTTCAGCGCCCGTGCATTTGCCCGCCAAGCGGCCTAGCGAAGGGTCGGGGAGACAAGCGAGGGAAGGCTGAGGTCGACTCGAGGACTTTGCAGAGGGCCGGCTTGGGAGCTGCAGGTTCTGCTATGATCTGCTATGCGGCTTCTCAGCTATGATGCCACCAAACTGCTTAGGTTTGCTTTTTGGGATAGAGGTTTCTGGCTGTCAGCGGGTTATTGCAAAGTGGCCATGCGTATTCAGGTACCCGGCCCTTCATCAATATAGCCGGCAGTTCAGGGGTCAGCCATACCCTTGCTTCTATGGCATTGTCGCTAAACCGTGTTATCCCGGTCAAACCTTCTGTCTGCAGTAGTTATTGGCCTTCGTATAGGACATCTGGTGAGCAGTTGTCGCCGGAACCTTGGCTCCAGCATTTGCCAGCTGTGGTCTTGGAGTCGCCAGAGCCCGAGTCACCAAAGCTCAATGATGCAGCGCTTCTTCTAGCCAAGCTTTTTCCGTAGTGTTCAGTTGCAGCGTGTGCCCGACCTGCCGAGGTGATGGGCAGGAGGTGAACGCAAGCACTGCGACACGAGCAGACAATCCAGGAGGATCTTTCCTATGTTTGCATATAAGGTACCCAGAGAAGCCGTGGAACGATCACCAACGATTTCGATTTCGGGCATTCCTAGGCCAAGGGCACTAAACTGGCTGAAGGCCTTTAGAGAACACAAGTGTGACGTTGTAGTGGCTCTTCGCTGGGCGCCCGGCGGACCTGGGCTCTCGCTGCAGGCAGATTTGCGCATTGCCCCTTCTTGTGGAGTGCCACTCTAGTCGTGTTCGTTGTGCTTGTAAGCTCAGCAGTGCTACATGTGCAATGACTAGTTTGGGAAGCTTGGGACATTGACCATCCATGGCATCTTTGCAGAAGCACTGTCGCCGTTCCCGATGACTGTAGTTTTACTAGTACGAGTTACTCCTGCTGCAACTACTACTACCACTACTGCTACTACTGCAACTGCTGCTACTACTACTACTACTACTACTACTACGACTGCGACTACGGCTACTACGACGACTACTACTACTACTACTACTACTACTACTTCTACTACTACTGCTACGACGACGACGACGACGACGACGACTACTACTACTACTACTACTACGACTACTACAACTAGAACTACGACTACGACTACTACCTTTGCTACTACTACTACTACCACTACTACTACTACTACTACTACTACTACTACTACTACGACTATTTTTTCAGTCCAATCGCAGCCGGGCGAATGGGGGCTCAGGTGCATTGCGCCGGTGCTTCAAAAGCACTGTAACCACACAGGCAAGTCCCGCTACGAATAGCTGCAAACTTGCGACCTACTCAACAGCCAAGAGAATGAATGGTGCATCTTGCGCCCTTGTCGACCATAGAGATGTACAATGTAGTAGACAGGGTATGGTCATAGGAAGTAAGAGCATACACATGCCACGTCCACGCATATCGCGAACAGCTGTTTCAGCTGGTGGCGAACTTGTGTTGCTTTGTACAGGCACATGCTATCCTCGGGAGTGGCCCAAAAGGCACATTGAGTGGAGTGGCCGAGTGACGCCCCCCTGTGTCAAAACCGTTCTCACTTTGTACACGGAAGCACGAATTGGAGGCGTCTCAGGATGCTGATATCAGTGGCCTCAAGAAGTCCCATTGCCTTGATCGTGTAGACGGCGATGGTGATGCGATGACCATCCCAGCGGCAGGTCTCATGCCTCCTGTCTGGGTGGAAGGCACGTCCTGACATCGTGAGGTCGTGTACTTGACCCCAGTATTTACCATCTTGCGAAGGATGATGTCCATCAGGGGTCTCTATCCAGAGTCTGCCACCCCGGAAAGTGGGCAGGGCAGTACACATTGACACTGTCTGGATCATTGTTGAGATCCTGATGCACACGCATTGTCGGGTTGCGTTGTAGAACAAAGCTGGTGAAGGATTTGCATGAACGGATAAATTTGGTAATGAGTAGCGTCACGGAAAAGAGGTGGTGTTGCGTCGCAGCCCGTAGAGCGGGCCTCGACTGCAGGCACCACTACATTCCGTCGATCCTTCCATGCTGGCCTCTCGTCTGAGTTCGCCCGGAGGTAGACAGTCGCATAGCAATTCCCAACTGTGCATGCGCATTTGTCCACAGGCAATTACATCCGCAGTGATTTGTTCAGCAACATACATCGGCTGTGGCATGTTTGGTGGGATTGTCTCATCGATTTCTAGGGAGAAGGGGATTCTCACCCATTGGTCATCGGCCCGGATTTGCCTCATATGCACTGCCGACATAGTGCACAGCAATCTGTCTGCCTCGTCTTCATCCACATCTATTGCCATCTCCATGCTGGGCTCACCCATGCTGGGCTCAATGAAGTCTCCCTATCTCTCCCTATCTTCGAACCGTGCAGCTGATGCTGCGGGGCAAGAGCCAGCAGTCATCAAGGCATGTAGAATGCAGCGGAACGCTCTTTTCACCCGATACTGCTAAAGCCAGCGACTCAAACATGACTAATTATAATGGTCCTGCACTATCTATAGTGGCGTATAAGGGCACACTCGGAGTGGGCCATGCTTCACTGTGGTGTACTTGCATGCAAGGCGGGTAACAGGCGGTCGGGGCAGCCATGCTGTTGGCGTGTTGAACTTAGAGCACAACTTCGAAGATACATGTCAGGGCGGTGCAGCGAGACCCAAGCTTGTTGAGGAAGACGACATAAAGTCGTTAATTTGAGTGCATGATTCCCAGCCACATTCGGAATTTTACTCATCATCGACATGTAGATTGCAGCAAACATACAAAACAGCAGGACCCTATCCATACTTGAGCCTGACGAACCTGGTTTCTTGACAGGACGGAAGATTAGATATGGATGCCCAAGCTACGTCTCCGCGTCCATGGCGCATCTGTTACTTTGTGCAGGTACAGGAAACCGCGTCCAGTCTCTCCCTTCCAGTTCGTTGGCATGGCTAGGGAATGGAAGAGGGATTGAAGCAAAATCCAGTCATGCGGAAAAGACGAAAACAAAATGCATTTCATCAGAGATGAAAACGGCGGCAAATCACATGAAGTCCTAATGCAGGTTGTCGCATGTACAGCAGAATAACACAAACAGGCCCCCAGGGGGCAACATGCTGCAAGGTTAGCCATGACTCTCAAGATACAAGCATTCAGCGGGCCAGGCGAGCAATACTTTAACACGCGGAAGATCGCGGCGCACGAATCACACTGCTTTGGGCTTGCTCGATGATGCAAGATGGGCAGCCTTTGTAGGACGACGCGGGGTGCGAGATTGACGACGTGACTGCATCTCATCTTGACTTGTACTGGACACAAAGCGGGGACTGCCAAAACATCCAGAGCCAACGGAATGCTGATGCCGAAGAGACTCCTCTTTTTCTTGACGGGTTTGGTCCAAGCATATCTTGTGTTTGATGAAAAAGCATCGGCTGTCTCTGCCTCTTGCACATACGGACGTACACTTTTCGCATTGCATACGGCATGGGGAATTCTCAATCTGTGCTCGAAAGCCTTCGCCAGACTCAATAATCTCAAGGCATCTTCGTAACAGTCGGGCGGTAAGTGCTGCTGAGAGGTCCCTTGTGGCCAATGCAAATTCTTGCGCAGCATCTTCAAGCTTACGATCCGAAGCGTTCGCCATGACACTGCGTGCTGTTAGGGGGGTCTACGGAACTGATTGACCTGTAGCTGCGTGAAGGCGGACGTGTGCAGGCAGCACTTGCATTGTACACGATGCAATCATCCTAACTTGGGCAAACGCAATCAAGCAATTGCACTCGGCCAAAAGCATGTGTTGTTTCAGAAAGCTCTGGCGACTGTGAAATCAGACATCTACAGAGGCTACAAATAAGTCCATCGGACTCACTGTGTCACACCCAATGGGTTGCGACTGGACTGCAGATGCAAGCGATCAATTAGCGCAACATCCACTGCAGCATCTTCATGGTCCTCATCCGCGAAAAGCCTGCAGGATAAGTTGTATCTCAAGGCAGCACCTTTAATTACAACGCGCGAATCCTGCGAGTTCCACTGGTAAGAATAAGAACTCCACGCAACCATTGGTGGGAAGTACTGGCAATAACCTGACATCGAAAGACATTGGTATGTATCACATGCGCCACGAAATAATAATGTGTGAGGTCCTGATAACTTGACGGCAAATGGGATCGCCGACGGAGGCCAACCATGGCCTCAAACTTCATCTTTACCAGCTTGCGTGTATCCTCCTTGATATTGTCAACACGAGACTGAAGGGAGTCTCTGTCGCGTAAATGACTCGGCCTCAATGGTGTTGAGAAGGAAAATGTAGCCAATGTGGCCAATAAGAAACACATGATCATCTCTGCAATCTCAGGTGATTCCATAACACGCGAAACCATCATGCTGACAACTACTCAATCTGTGGGCAAGCCAGCTCGAACAGATACAAAAGAGCAAGAGGCTGCGAAACAGAAATTAGAAGCATTGTAGTCGGTGTTGCATTCACTCTTTCGGTACAGCACTCCATGCAACTGCATTTGCTCAAGACAAGTCGCACTTCTTCCTTTGACTGCAAAGAAAGTGAAAGTGTTCCTTTAGGCATACGTCATCCGTACGTTCAGCTATTCAGCCCTGGTACGGACAAAGACTACAGGGGCGTCAGGAATCAGCGCTGCAATCGGTTCGGTGTACTTGATGTGCAAGCCATGTTGTTGG